AAAGGTTACACGCTTGGATTTCTCGCATTCCCGGGGAAGTTCTGGGTTTTCGGAGGCGTGGCCCCAGCCGGGGTAGATCGCGTCACACGTGTTCTGCAGCGCGGTATGCATGATGAGATCCACATTGGCGTAGTTGTTGCGATTCATCCCACCGGGGACCGGCACGTGCTGATCAGCCATAGATATGAACTCGGCGTTGGACTTGAGGTCCTCCGGGGTGGCCATAACCACGAATTGGAGAGCCTCCGAGTCGCCGAGATGGTCGTAGAGCCATGATCGGATAGAATCAATGCCCTTCACTGCGGCCAGACCGTTGTTCGAAATAAGGAGGCGATGGATGGGCCGTGTCGCTCCCAATGCTTCGAACAGATGATCCAAGGAGCTGAAGTGAGCGCCAGTAGATCCAACGCTCTCCACCTCCGCATAATTGTCCATTGTAAGGATATGGAGAAGAAAATTAATATAGACACAAAAGAAAAAATGCTGTTGGTACCACGAGATGATCTGAATACTTGGGGATGATATAACAGACCTTCCCTGTAAGAGCGCACAGGCCTTGAGTGTAAGTTGGGATAGACGTTATATCAAAGGGAAAGATGCTTACTTGAAGAGAGGGCATATAAATATCAGAAGCCAAAATATGAATCAAACAAGTAAAATGTTTAAAAAACCTTTCCATGGAGGAAATCTTATACATTGTTAAAAACTGCAACCCAGCATACGAGAGCACTCGACTAAGTGATCCCGCCGCCAAGGACTGTGTTTTCCTTTTTGAGCAGGTGTAGGAAGTAATTTTCATGCACCTATTTAAATTTCGTTGAACTGGTGCCAGTCAATTCGAGCACTGAATAGCAACACGCCAACTCCGATCATAGCTTCCATTTCCTCACACAAGGCAGCAGCACGGCCTTCTCCCTCCCCCTTTCTGGAAACAAGGAAAATATAGCTAGTATGCGATGGACGAACCAATCGACTCCTCACTGCGATGCCGCTTAGAGTGTAAGCTTTCCTCTTCGTTTTCCATCCATTCTTCGTCATCTACTTCACTACTTTCATCTTTTTCGGAGTGCTTATTCAGAATCTGGGCTGTTCCCGCACCAGCCCCCTCTGCTCTTCCGTTTTCCTCTGAAAATCTCAAAGCAGCGTACCCCCCAGCCTCTTCATTTTCCTGCAAGTGATCACACTTGTCGCTACTGATGTTTCCAGAATCATTGCTTGCACGGTCGTCATCCAAGCTGAACTCAGACAGACTGTCCTCACCATGGAAGCCAAACAGTAATTGGTAAGGGGGGTCGCCGCTGCTACCGTTTGGGGGGGAATGCGAGCGAGACCGTGAGGAAGGTATCTCTAAAGCAAAATCCACTGCTAAGGCATCGTACTCAGAAAGGGCAGTCGCTGGCATACGCTCAACCGTACTAGCGATGGTAGAAGCTTCGGTATCGGCTTGTTGAGCCTCCTCTGGAGTCTCCTCCAGCACATGCCTCAAATTTTCGGCAATGTAAGGCGACTTCATTGCGAGCTGGTCCCCATATGATCTAAGCAAGATGAGGGCTGTTTCTTGGCACAGATGAATGTTTTCGTGCTCAGTGGGTTGTCTGGAGAGATCAGCGTCAGTGGCAGAAGAACCTATTCTTGAATCAAGGCCGTCCTCCAACAACGCAACTGCGAAGGATGTCTTTGGAGTCACTAACTCAGTACTCTGCCGCTTTCCTAAATGCACAAGCGTGCACAAGTCAAAGAACAGACGCCCCAGCGAAGCCGAAAGTACGTTGTTCCGTTGTGCACATTCGAGAAAGAGCCTCATGCACGCCTCAATCAGGCCATCCTTTCCGGTAAGCAGGTGGAGGAGGCGGACACAGCCTGTGTTAAGCAGGGCTGCTAAGAAAGATACAGCGGATGACTGCAGGTTCATACACCATCGAGAGGAGCGCCCAAGCAGCGCCGCAAGCCCAGGAATAAGCTGGGACAGCACTAGCAACTCCGTAAAACTGCCACCATGTCTCCCTTCCATTTCCTCAGCCACAACTTGAAGCACGCGCAGGTGGTAGAGTGCACGCGTTTCCTCCTGTTTCGGCAAGGAGGGAATAGTGGTGGTGGTAGCCCACAGTGATAACAGCTGCGCTAGACTTGAGGCGACCAAGAATAGAGGGGGCTTCTCCACACCGCTCCCCTCAACCCAGAAGCGGACGACATCAGACCGCTGCGCCCTCTCTGCTGGAGTAACAGGTATTAGCAGACTCCGTAGCCCCACCGCCGCTCCCAAAATAGCGTCGTAAACAGCCTGCAGCGTGGCGACCTTTCGCACAACTGTGATTAACTTCATTAAAAGGCTTAGCGTGCTCCTCTGTGGATTCATGGCGGACTCCGTAAGGAGATTCTCACGCGAGCCACTTAAAAAACGGACACAGTGGTTAATGGTTTCGCATGTTGCCTGAATAGCCGTCTCAGCTGCCACAACTTCGTCACCGTCCTTCAGCACACAGACCGTCGCTGCGACGGTCCCTGGGTCGCGGACCTCGTAGGACTTTATCGCATGATTTAGGAGCGCATTGGCAAAAGTGAAAAAGCCACCCTGAACAAAGAGAGCGTACAACTCCTCCTTTGAATCCAGTGTAATCATCGAATTCTTGATTGTCTTCGATGTGTCAAATACGAAGTCTGCTAATGAGTAGAGGGATTCACTTGTTCCAGCCGCAACAGCCTCTCGGAATGCTCGAGGAAGCAGATCCTGTCCACGACAGACATCCTCCATCAATGTATACTTGAAACGGAGCAGTAAAGTGTTGAGAAGTGAGGTGGACATGGCGTCACCCTCATCTAGGCTAAGTGGTACTAAATCCTTGAGGTAGCTTGTCGCAAAGATGATGTGCACACGAAACAGGATATTTTCAGGAAGCTGACAAGGATTTTTGAAAGTAGCACGCCTTTCCTCGAAGCTGATGAATCCACTTGCCTTGTCTCTTCGGCCAATGGCGTACTGCACAACGTCAATGCAATCCTCGATAACATCGCTATCAACAAATTGACCCATAATTTCTCCCTCAGAATTATAGGGCGTCTTTAGCAAGGTC